ATCCCAGTACGGCAGGCCTTGGTGGTTGGACTAGGCCAAAACAATGGAAACTCTTGGGTTGCAAGAGCAGGAAAAGTCCTAAACAGACTACATTTAAAAAACATGATTCTTGATAGAGAGGGTGATCATCCACACCCAAATTACACTCCTTCCGCGCCGTGGGAAGAGCCTACTTTCAAAATAGTAATAGAAAGTCTCCCAATGAAAAAGGCTGCCTATGATCCGACAATCCTAAGGCGCATAATAGAAGAGCAAATGTATAGCATAGCAGTAGCAGGAGCCACCCACATCTTCACAGACGGATCGGTGGACACAGAAAATGAGAGTGCTGGCGCTGCTCTTTGCACGACCAGCGTTCAGGCATATTGGAGACTGGGAGGACTAGTATCATCAACCCAAACTGAGCTGTTTGCCATACAACAGGCATTCGCATATGTGATTGCACAAAACACTCAAAATGCAATCATACACACAGACTCAAAAGCTGCACTTCAAATACTAGGACAAAAACAGTGGAAAGATAATGTGGAAATAATTACCACCATTTTGTATCTTGGAGCAGTCGCTAAAGGCAAAGGCCTCAACATAACTTTAAACTGGATCCCATCCCATATTGGAATCCCATTAAATGAAAAAGCTGATGAAATTGCTAAATTGGCAACTCGTCATCCAGTGATACATAAAACAATTCAACCCAGCCTAGAGAACATAAAAAACATCATCACCAAAAAACTCTCACATCTCAACAAAGCCTACCTACACCAGAGAATAGCTGAAGGTTCGCCATCTGCAACATGGTATCTTCAGGCAACCAAATTAGAAAGGTTAAATATCCCAAAAGGAATCCACAGGGAAATAGCAGTTAGGCTATATAGACTACGTCTAGGTTACAGATGCAACTGGGAGATTGGTGAACCCCGACAGAGAGAGTGCATCTTCTGCCAAACTGTCACAGAAAAGCCATTACTTCACTATCTTCTGGAATGTGAAGCAACCAATGACCTTAGAAGAGCTTTAAGAGTTCCTGAATCATGCAGTGGCCACCCTGAAGCCATCAACACAGCCACTCTCCTGGTCAACAAAGGTGTCCAGCAGCTGGACACCCTAATAAAGACTGTGATGCAGTATCCTCCCCCACGATAACAGCTTGATGGTTAAATGCAACCTCAGAACACTGGGAAAAATAAAAAAAAAATTAATAATTACGGGAGACATCTCCCGTCACGCAGGGTGCAGTCGCACCTCCACAAATTCCAGTATGCTCTTGATACTGGTAATGGCTCAAAAGGGCCACCACTTACGGGCTATTCATGCCCGTGCCACCTTTTGAGTGGCTTAATCTTTATCATCATCATCATAGAATCTCCAAGAAAGGGAGTGGGAAATGAATGGATATCGAGGGCACTTGGTGTCAATTGCCGGCTGGAAAGATATTGCAAATCAAATGCAATATCTTTCATAGACAACTGGGAACACTTCTATGGAAGAAATGAAATGTATGCTCGTGATGGGGTGCATCTATCGAGAGCTGGGGTTGTTGCTGTTGCGAACTCGTTAGAAGAAGTGGTTAGAGGTGTTTGTTTGGGTTTAAACTGTTAGTAGATAGAGGTATGGGAATTGATTTGGAGGAAGGAGGTAATAAAAGTATGTGTTTGTGGGAGAAAGGAATTGGCAAAACGATCAGGGAAAGAGAAGGTCCGCAAAATAACAATTCACTTAGGGTATATTACACTAACAGTAGAAGTCTAAGAAATAAAATTAACGAATTAAATGCTCTTGTCTGCACAGAAAAAATAGATATTATTGCACTTACCGAAACGTGGATGAATGTAGAAAATAGAGAACTATTAGCTGAATATCAAATATATGGATTTAAACTATTTCACACAGATAGATATATTAGACGAGGAGGTGGAGTAGCCATATATGTTAGGGACAATTTGAAATGTAGTCTCAAAGAGGGAATCAAAACAGAGCCACACACAGAAACTATTTGGATTGAATTAAACGAAAAAGCTAATAATATTATAATAGGAGTAATATATAGGCCACCAAATTTAGACAGAATGGAAGCAAAGCATCTATGGGATGAAATATCTAGAGCATCTAGATCTAACAGTATTTATGTCATGGGTGACTTTAATTTTAGCGGAATAAACTGGTTGAACAAAACAGGGAATAGTGAAGCAGAAGATTTTCTAGAATTAATTGACGATTGCTTTCTTACGCAACACATTAAGGAACCAACACGGGAAAATAATATTTTAGATTTAGTGTTAACTAACAGGGAAACGCAAATTAATGACATCGAAATAGGGAGTGAGCTAGGGAGCAGTGATCACAAAGAAATCAGATTTAGCATAGAATGGAATAGACCAGTAGGAGAAAATTCTGTTAAAGTGCCAGATTTTCGAAAAGCTGATTTTAATAGCCTAAGAAATTTTTTGGGTCAAATTGATTGGAAAGTCTTGGGTATGGGGTGTGGGCCGGTCTTGGAGCGAGACATGAACCCAGCGATAGGTGACTTAAATGGGGATTTCGATGTGGATTCAATATATAACTTATTTAAGAATATTCTAAACAAAGCACAGGAACGTAGTATACCATACAAATTGAATAGATCGAATACTAATGACCCAAAGTGGATAACAAAGAATTTGAAGAACCTTATAGGTAAAAAGAGAGCTTGGTACAAAAGGATTAAAAATGGGGAGGTCACTTTAGAACAGGAATTCGTACAACTGGTTAGAAATGTTAAAAAAGAGATAAGGAAAGCAAAAAGAAACTATGAAGTTCGCATAGCAGGGCAAGCAAAGACAAATCCTAAAGGGTTTTTTCAGTTATATCGTACTAAGACTAGGGAAAGGATAGGTCCATTAAAAACTGAGACAGGTCAAATAACAGATAGTGATGAAGAGATGAGTAGTATTTTTAATAAATATTTTGTATCTGTATTTACTAAAGAGGAACTTAACAATATGCCTTCAGCCGAACAAGTCTATGTGGGTGGGGACGAGGACAGGTTGACGAGTTTAGCAGTTACCAGGGAGGATGTTCTTAAACAAATAGTAAAACTCAAACCAAACAAATCCCCAGGGCCGGATGAAGTGTTTGCCAGGGTGCTTAAAGAATGCAAAGAGGAGCTTTGTGACCCACTGTCAACCATATTTAATAAATCAATAGAGTCAGGCAGAGTGCCAGAGTTTTGGAAAGTTGCTAATGTGATACCAGTTTTTAAGAAAGGAGATAGATCACTTGCGTCTAACTATCGACCAATTAGCCTAACGTCTATTGTGGGAAAGTTACTCGAATCTATAATAGCAAATAAAATTCGTCTTCATCTTGAAAAACATAAATTAATAATTGAGTCGCAACATGGTTTTATAAATGGCCGTTCATGTTTAACAAATTTGTTATCTTTTTATTCTAGCATTGTTGAGGCAGTTGATAGTGGTAAGGATTGCGATGTTGTATACCTTGACTTTAGCAAAGCTTTTGATACAGTGCCACATGAAAGACTGATTAAAAAAATAGAGTCTCATGGTATTGGGGGTGCTATATTAAGCTGGATTAGGGCATGGCTATACCAAAGGAAACAGAGAGTTAGTATAAATGGAATCAAGTCAGAGTGGGAAAATGTTGTAAGTGGAGTGCCTCAAGGCTCTGTCCTGGGACCTCTGTTGTTTATAATATATATAAATGATTTAGATTCAGGTTTGAGTAGCAACATTTGCAAATTTGCCGATGATACGAAAATCGGTAGGGAAATTAATTCGGAGGAGGACTCACTATCACTTCAAGTTGATCTAGATAGGGTTTTGAAATGGTCAAAGGATTGGCAGATGCAGTTTAATGCTGATAAATGTAAAGTTCTGAGGTTAGGTAATGATGATAGAGTTACAAGATACGAGCTAGATGGTGTTGTGATTGCGAAGTCGGATTGCGAAAGGGATCTGGGAGTTATGATTAGTAAGAATTTAAAACAAAAGGATCAATGCATAAATGTTCGTAATAAGGCAAATCGGACACTTGGATTTATTAATCGCAGCGTTAGTAACAAGACACCTGGTGTGGTTCTCAAGCTATATCTTGCTCTAGTTAGGCCCCATTTAGATTATGCAGTTCAGTTTTGGTCGCCATATTATAGAATGGATATAAATTCACTTGAACGTGTCCAGCGTAGGATGACTAAGTTAATTCCCCAAATTAGAAATCTTTCATATGAAGAAAGATTAACAAAGCTTAAGTTGCATTCACTGGAAAGGCGAAGAGTTAGGGGTGACATGATAGAGGTTTACAAGTGGATGAATGGACATAACCGGGGGGATATTAATAGGGTATTAAAAGTATCAACACAGGACAGAACACGAAACAATGGGTATAAATTGGATAAGTTTAGATTTAGGAAAGACTTGGGTAATTATTCTCTTTAGTTCTTTTATGAAGTTCAGGACACTGTTTTTCCTATTGCATTTATGTTAATATGGACAATATGGTAAGATAATCTGTCTTTTTAACCCTGGATGCAAGATTATTTCCATTTGGAAATACAGTATGGAGATTTTCTGGAGAATGCAACCTGTTCTCCACATATCATAGTTATGTTTTAGTTAGGTTACTGTATATTAAAGAAATGCTTTCCAATGTTTTGCAGTTTGTTGGGCAATTGTATTTTGGTATTGCCTTGGGCAAGATATTTATACAGTAGTTAAATTTCGAATTTTATACCTTAAACTCTGTTTCAGGGAAAAAGGTTTCATTTATAACATGATGTGCTTCTTTTTAAGAGGGCATATTTTTTCTTTTCAATTGGTTTTATATTAAGATTTTGATTTTCTTTAATTTGTATCTGCATTTTTAAGCCTTCTTTTATGGTTTCCTTGTGCCGTACTGTAATTAAGTACAGTATATTGGTTATCGAACATAAAAGGTTTCAAAATGACCTTGGTATTGCACTGATACAAGTAAACCAGGCATCTTATGGGAAATTAAAAAGCTAGTAAAATAAGATACTGTATTAATATTTTCAGTGCTACAGCATATAAATTATAAATATATATATATCCTATTTTTCATATACAGTTCCAGTCTCCAATTCAAAGATATTAAGCATCTGAATTTACTATATGATTTTCAAATTTCACTCTTGTACACTTATGTTACACAAATCTGTCATCTACTTAACATGTCTTTACCACTTAAGTGTATTGTGCTTTACAGCCTCCACATTTCATTCCCTCACCCTTTTCATATAATGTATATCATTACCATACCCTTCCTGTAAACATACACCAGCACACTAAAAGTAAATTTCCCGCACTCTTGAAAACCCTGCTACTTTCTACACCCAACTTTTAGTTACATCTGTCAGGGTTGGGAGTATACACTCTCTTTTCTCAACTCCCGTACCATCATTATTTTGTCTCTCAATATTATTTACACTCATACATACATAAATGCACGCAAAATAATTCTAGCAAAATTAAGTTTCCCTACAAATATCATAAAACCCTGGACATATTTACATCACCAGCATTCAATGCATTTATATGCATGAAATACAATAAAACAAATAAAAATATGAATAGAATTATACATCAAAGCAATTTAAATTTCAAATCTTGTGTAAAAGACAAAATGTTTTGCTAAAAAATCTTATGTAAGCCAACCCACTATACTGTACATGATAAACAGTACCAGTCAATGAAGCCCTTGGAAGTATACTTTGGGGGAAGGAGGGTTACATTATTTTCACACTACTGTATACATTAACTGCCATATGACTTCTTAACTAGTACAACTTTTTTTATTACTTTTTAATGATCCTGTTTAAGGGAATTGTGTCTCCAATTAACATGTAACAAACTATAATTAAAACATTCACAACATTTTACATGTAAAAATATTGTTTTTGGCCCATATTGTATTGGCCAATATCAAAGACCTCCCTGAAAAATTATTAAATTAAATTTCAAAAACACATTTTAATTGGTAAAATGAAATGCGGTATTGAAGGTTTATCTCTAGCATTATTTCAGCTGGTGAGGACAAGAAGTTGATACTATCACTTGGGAAGAATCACGTTAATTCACAAGTTGATTTACCCAAGAGCTTATCATCTGGTTTCTAGATGATGGCATTCTGGCAAAATTCCTGCAAGCAGAACTGTAGCTAATAGTCACAGAAATATACTCTAACTCTTCCAAGAGTGAAATAATCTAATTTAATTGATTATAGATGCATTGAAACCCACACAAACATGAGAATCGACCATTGTCCCCACTAATAGTATAGTGCTTACCACCTTGGGGTTTTATTGGAATTACTAGACCACAATTTTAGATTGTAAAAAAAAATCATGACGAGGATAGAACAGAAAAATACGAGGGTTAGGAATCCCACGTTGTCCTGTACATTCTCAGGTGACTCACTTTGGTTAGACTAACTTATTACCTAAAATGAACACACTTTAGGCTGAAAAAGTAAATGTGATCTGAAGTCAGTACTCATGAAAGTGCCCAACCTTAACCCCCCTTAAGTGTTAACAGAACCAACTTCCTCATTCAGACTTGAGGAAATAAATACAGTATGTGCAAAGCAACACAGGAAGCATGACCTGTATTCACCTAGTTGTGCTTGCGGGGGTTTAGCTCTGTTCTTTCGGCCTGCCTCTCTACTGTCAATCAGTTGACAGTTGAGTCAACTGATTGGAACACAGTCAACCTGTGTTCCAATCCTCATGCACTACTGCTCATGAACTGGCGGAAAGTTTCTTCCAGAGCACTCTTGAGAGCCTATATGGATGAATGATCAAGTTTACTGAAGGTGCCAGTCAGTGGTATAATCTGGCTGATCCCTCACTCAGACCAGCTACCACAAAAAATATCAAATTGAACTTGGATAGTTTCCAAATTGAGAATATTGCTTCAATAATGTTTGAGAACCTATACAGGAAGACCAGAGGTCACTTCCTAGCTGCGAGTACTCCTCACACTGTCTGGAAGTTCACCCCGGATCTTTGATTCTTGAGCCATTCACATCATTGGCGAATCCCTCTTCTTTCCTGCTACTATTTAGCCAAACACATGCATATCTGGGGTATTGCGCAAGCAGACCAATATCACGTAGAAAAGGATATATCAAAGGTGCAATTTCCCAATCAACAATGCAAAGAATTGATATGGAGAAGAAAAAATAAGAGTGTAAATTCAAATTAAATCTCCACAGACCTGAATGACTAAAGATCACTGGCACTTGGCAAAATACATGGTTTCAGTATATTTTCACGATGATTGTTGAACTTAAAAAAATTAAAATATATTGGTCTATTATTTGATTGGCACACACACACACAAACTACTACCTCTGACGAGTGAATATGAGGGTGATATTGCCACTACTTTCAGAAGACTTGCAAAATAATAAAGAGGCCTTGCACATCATTACAGCTTTCTCCCACGAGGCTTAGAAGACAAATGAGGAAAATGTTCACTCACTAAGTCAGGTGATAAGATCATGAGAACTGAGGACCCTTGAACAATAAATATCCTGTTTCTGAACCTGTGTTGTAATTCAAATAGAAATCTTAGCTATATCTTTAGTACACCTTTACTTTTAACAGCTGGAACAGTGCTAAAATATTAATTGTTATTATACATGGGCGCAAGTCATGTAGTTTCTAATTTAATCGTATCTACAAATATTAATAAAATTGATAAATTATTACTTAAAAAAAATAAGAAATAGGGTGGAATTACAAAATACTTAAACAACCTCAAGGTCAAATCTGAAGATTTTCTCCTGACCCTGATGGCTATATTTCTTCTTCATGGAGGGCCGGGCCTTAGCATTATTACCAGAGGTGTCAACATGTTTACATAGTTGACAAGATGATAAAAGGTGAAAAATATTGTAGAAATATATAGGAAAAGCTGAGAAGAAAAGAATCTTTCTAATATATATTGTACTTTAAAATATTATACAAGATTAAAATGAAATAATGATTACATATATTAGACATCAAACTTAACTAACTTGACTTGACGATGATCTATTACAGTACATACATTATTTACAAATGACATTCCCGTATTGACTGTTTAGCGGCTGACACACAATTTCTTTGATAAGATGACAGCAACAGCCAGAAACATGGGGTGCAAAGTGGTACAGGAGTGGACTTGAAATTTCCTTCTAACAAGTTCAAAATAATAAAAATAAATTCTATATACAATATTTTTCTTTACTCAAGAACTTCTCACTTGAGGCTTGGCCATCAAATTTTCAAAGAGCCTAGTAAGGTCAACTACCGAGTAAGCATTCTGCTTCAGTGTCCGTTGTACTTCTGAATGGAGAACGTTGTATACTTTGCGGAGATTTTCTTCTCGAATGCCTGCAGAAAAAATATAATTAGGACCTTTCTAACAAACAAATATTCAGTGTTAAAACATGTTTTCCAAATATTCAAATCAAAGACCTTTGCTTTATATTCTACCTTTTACTTAAGTTATGCATAGGGACTATATAATTCAAGGATAAAATTCAACATGTACAAATACAAGTATGGCCGTGTTAGATGCATGTTTTCCACCAGACAACAGCACGTATTTTCATTTATCTACAGTCAGGATATGATTGCCTACTCTCACAGTATTCTCACATACTTACGCTCATCTTTATTCTTCTGGCATGCTTTCTGGAAGTCAAAGATGAAATCATAGAAGCACAGCTGTTTGTACAGCTGAGATTCAGTATACTGCAAAGGAAAAGACAAAATTGAGAATTTATTTTGCAAAGATGCCTAAATTGATAAGACACTCTAGAAAACTCTTATTATGGAATTTCTTGCAACTAGAACTACAGTACTTTCTTTGCTGCTTATTGACTACACTAATATTTCTACAATTACAGTTTCATCTGTTAACAAATCAAGCCAACAGTACAGTATTAAACCTTTAGACATATTATATTTGAGCTTATCTTTAATTTGCTGTTAAATGTTGCCCTCACTCTATCCTGTAATTGTGTATGTTTTCAATAAAGTATATGGCTGCATTCTAAAATTTTTCTATGGCTGTGCACTTGTACGGTTTAGTTATCTAAAAGTACTGCATTTAAATTTGAGCTACATTCTGAGCACAACTCTCGGTTCCAACAGCCTCTTCTACCTGTAATTGTAGCCAACACCTCTTGTAAGTTGACAATTTATATTAATGACTTACCTCTCTAAAGAGAACACCTCGTTCACACGAATCACATACAGGAAAACCCCTAGAGAAGTGTAAAGGTATTCGTCGAGTTCTGTTACTGCAACCTGGATCCTCACATATAAGCCAACCCTGTGTCGATTGTCAAAATTTTTTATTACTGTATAGCTAAAACATATCAGAAAACAGTGCAATGTTTCATTTTTATATATTCGTTTCATTTTATGTACGCTTTTTCATTTTTACTGAATTGTATAGTGTGAAATATGTTAAAAAATTATAATGAACTCACATTGTAGTATTTTTGTATATGATTTCTGATATCTAGTCTTAGCTTATTGAGAATTGGAGCTATACGGGTAAATATCTGAAACTGGCACTTGGGGTTTGGACAAGTCTGCAAGGCCACTTCAAGGTTGGTTCCGGTACCCTGAAAAGAAATCAATAATTTTTATCATGCTTTACATGTATCATAATCCACAATCCTTATTTACATAATGAAACTGTAAGCTTCAATATATTTCCTATTTAATTATAGAAATTTCTCCAAACCTCAAACGTGAACTAGATATGTTTTAACTGCAGCTAAAGTACGTATTCTCAATCACCTGTACAAGAAGCATTTAATTATAATGTACCTCCAAACAATATTCTGAAATGCTAAATGCTAAATTACAATTATTCTCCCCCCCTCTCAAATAATTGATTAGTGGGTTGAGACAGGTAACTGGGTGCAGGGGTTGCAGGGAGTAATACGAACTCAGAGGTGAATTGTTGTACCATGCTTACAGAGTTAGATCTATTGCATTACTACATTATACATCTCAACATTCTATTACTTTTGTTATACTTGCTGTAGAAAGTGTGTATAGCAGCATTTCTACAATACCTGCTCCCAGCTCATTCCACTTGCTTACCATTTATAATTCATTCGAGTTTTCTTCTATTTACTGGTAACTCATATTTCCAAATTCTCTGTGCCTCACACACCTCACATACTCCATCTGGAAAAGACTGCGTTCACCTTGCCAACTCCCATATGTTGAGTTTGTATCTCCCTGGGTTCAATCTTGGAGTATGCTTATATATCAGTGACTACAGGGTGGTGAGATCCAGCACCCTGGCAGTGCCAGGGGATCAACTGGGACTTGGGATGTGGCAGTGACCAGTGGACTTAAGGCATAGCAGTGGCGAGATCCTGGGTGTGGCAGTGACCAGTGGACCTGGGTTATGACAATGACCAGTGGATGCTGGGTGTAGCAATGACCAGTGGACCTTGCTTGATACCTGCTTGAGTAACCCAGCACAAGGTATTGACCTTTGATCCACAAGTTTCTTTCACCTCTGTAAGGGGGACCAGATTTTGATTCAGGCTCGTAGTAAGCCTATACAAGTTGCTAGGACCTGGAATGGCTTGGGAGATCCTATGATACTAATGGTACTAATGATGAACTGAGGAGGATGCCTATAAAATCAAACAATTTTCTTACCACGCCACGAAACGCTGAGTCCATAGTAATAATTGTATCACAGTCTTGGGATGGGCACTTGAATGTAAATCTCTCACACATACGATATCGTTCTTCATCTGAAATCTGAGATACAGATACATCTTCCTCCTCCTCAGCTTGTCCATACTGTCTAGAAATTCGATAAGAAGAAGGATCCAAACCTAGAAAATGAGAAAAACCTAAATTATACCATGGAAGATTTTTATTCTAAGCAATGTAAAAAATGATGTGTTGAAGATAAAGAAATGCCCTCTTCTGGATATCCTCAGTAGCTCCTTCGTGTATTGATTGGTTTGTTGACTTTGCACAAATTACTGATTTCCTTGTTCCATCTTTTTTTTTAATCTTTAATCAAGATAGTTATTTTTGCTTCACCTGTACTTTCTGGGTAGTTTCATTTGGTTTTGGGTCGATCTCGGATCACTGTAATTTCCCCACCTCTGTGAAAACACCAGAGTGTCATCCAGGCATTTAGTAGGACTAATCCCATAATCCTAGTAGTTTTGTTAATGTTTCTGGAACCAGAGTTAGTGCTGCAACAAGCTACTGAGGGCAAGCCAAGATACTTCCTGCATAGTATCTTGGTTGCTCCCTCATATGGGACAATGAAACAACTTAGTTCCTGGCTAACATGTAAGGTTTTGGTTGACTTTGAGCCCCATGGTTTATAAATTTTGTTAAATGGTTCTGTCTCATAATTTAGGAGTGGGAAGACAGTGAAGAGTATACCTCAATCCACTGAAACTGACTGCTTTGACACGAAAGACCAGGTAAAACAAATAAACAGCTCCTCTGAATGATAATTAGGACTGCAGACAGCCAATTATCACTTTGAAATTACTTACCTGGAACACTACCTGCTACACTTACTGCCACCAGGTGTAAACAGTGTTAGTACAACATGACTGAAGGAGGCAAACCCCCTTACATAGCACTGTTTACCCTAGCACTCAACAAAGACAGAACTCAAAGGGACGGAACAGGAGCAATAGCTAGTGCTGACAATAATTGGTAATTGGCTGACCTTACAGTCCCAGTGACCATTTGAAGGGGTGTTGATTGGTTTAACTGCTCCCTGATGTGAAAACAAGAAGTTTCTTTCCTGTGGAGGACTGAAAGAGGCTCTTCACTATCTTTCCAACCAAAAACTACTGGACAAAGTCATTAGAAAAAATCCTCCTTCGATTGGGGCTCAAAAGTCATTCATAGTCTAGCATGTTAGCTGTGATTTTGTGGACCTATAACCCAGAATTATACAGCAACAGAGAGAAACCTTGCCAAAGAAAGTTTACATTCATTATAATCATGTATGGGATATTGGAAGGTGTTGGAGTGCAAAATGTTTGAATTTTTATTTTCATTTGTAGTAAAATGTATCAGGCAATGAATCCAGTCAATTTTAAATATGCACTGGAGGATGCATTTAAAAGTATGATTAAGTAATGCTAGTGCTTGTTTAATATAAATCAACAGGAAAAATTCATCGAACAAAATCTTTATAAAGAAAAAAAAGAGATACTGTATTACATAACACTTGAAAGAAATGGTTGGTCACCTACCTAAACACTCTGCAATTCTTGCAGCATCGGTTCCCTCTATCGGGTCACATAGACGAGATACAACAGGATGAATCTGGTGTGCTAAATAAAAATTTGTGTCTATCACTAAGGATGAATTGGATTTTAGTTCATCCACGTGATATGCTCGTTGCACAGCTGATAAATTGCTACCATCCTAAGGATAAAAAAATTATAATTAAGGAACTTACTGAAATATGGCTAAAAAATAATAAAGGTTAGTTTCCAAATCTGCACAATAGATTTCATGAGGTACAAGAGGGACCAGTTGAAAATGCTGGTAGACTTACTATGTCAGTCACTACCAATGCTCTCATTAGAAACATTTGAGAAAGTGATCTCTCTTAATATTCATAATGTTGTTTTGCACAACAGCTGGCTATATATGGGTTAAGAACTAGAACTGTATATAGAATATGTCTTGTTTTTATTATAATATATAATTAAAGTAAAAAGACAACCCAAAACCAGCAAGAAAGGCAAGGATGAAAGGATTGTAAGATTCTGTACTACTATTGAAAAGGCTTATGATATTGTTCCTAACACAAGGATAGTGTATAAGATGAAGAGGCATGGTGGGACAACTAGAAAGTCAAGGAATTTGATAAGAGAATATCTGACAGAGAGGAAACAGAAGAACACTGTCAGAGAGATGTAGCAAGCAGGGTTCCTCGAGGCTTAGTCCTGGGCTCTTACTGTCCCTCACCTACGGTATTGACCTAAATGAGGCAGTGCATTTTTGTATAACAATGTTTGCAGATGATGCAAAGTCAATAAGGAGAGTGAAATTAATGAAGTTCATAAAGCGCTGCAGGAAGACATTGACAAATTACAGGAGTGGACATAAATGGATACTGTAATTCAACCCAAGCAATTGTAAGGTGATAAAAATGGGTGGAAATTAGAAATGCAAATGGATCCGAGAAGTATGGAAATACTGTATTCATACAATGTATGGGTGGTCAACAAGTTAAATGGACAGAAAGGTTTCAGAGTTATGTAGAGACCCTCATTTACAACTGTATGAAGAAATATACAACAAAAACTCTATTCAAGATGGGATTTAAAATGTACAAAGTACCAGTAGCTATGAGGTGGGGCCCCAAAAGCATCTAGACAGGCTGCATATATGGGTAGACAAACAGCCACTGAAATTTAATCTCAACACTATAAAGTAATGAGATTTGCACATTTGGTAAAAAGCAAAGAATAAAATTTTTCAAGTCCAAACATTCTACGAGAAAAGTTCCAAAGATAACATACATAAGCATCAATGACTGGCTCACTCTGAACAACAAAATGGCTACCACCCCTGGAATGAAAGTGTCAAAATACTGTAATGAAACAATTTATTTTCATTCCAACCACTAACCTCGCATATGACATAAGCTACTGTATCACCTTGACGTAGCTTTTTCCCTCCTCGAGAATTCATCCTAATAGCCACTTGAACATGTGGAAGGCTTTTCTTGTCAGGATAATCTTCAGGATTCTTTGTTAAAGACTTTGTAATAGCCAGAGTGCCAAGATCAATCTGTAAAATTTTTAAAATAAAAACCTGTGCCATATGGAAAGTTAATTGCTTGTTTAGTTAATATTTTCATAAAAGTATAAATATTTTGATATTATTAACCATTACCTTGCCAGCTTCTAAGTCAGCTTTGAGTTTCTCTAAGTGTGAATGGATGTTTTCAATGCGTTCATCGGGTCCTTGATCAGACAGAATTTGCGTTACAATGTGCCTGTGGGAACATCCAAGTTAAATCCATCAACCATAGTTGCATGACCTCGACTTTATCCTAATGCTGTAATACAACTTTCTTCTCTTGCACACACTCTCAAACTAATTAGTTTTTTACAATGCCACTTCTCACTTGGCAAAGAAAGCATCATCAGCATATCAAAGAAAGCATCATCAGCATTTCAAAGAAAGCATACAATCATGAAAAACACAATCTATCCCCATCACAGTTCACTTTCATGCCAGGTCTTGTCAATGCAAAAACACATTCTCAAGATATTACTGAGAAACAAAGCATGGAATAAAATATGAACAAGGCAGAAAAATTAAGGCATCTCCCTACATTACAATACCTTCGTAACTAAACCTCATTTAATAACTTACTTTCCGCAGTCAGATGCAAGCTGCGACCAATCACGTCTTACAATATCCAGACCTTTAAGTTCTTGTTCTTCAACCACCTGGCCATTTGCAAGTCTACTAACTGTGAGGGCTGCATATTTCTTCTTCTTCAAGAGAAGCATGTATTTAAACACACCATCAACTTCCAACTCCAGTAGCTTGTACAGTTTATTTACCTCTGATTTGATCTAGAGAAATAATTTAAAATGAGATCACAATAAAAGTGACAAAACTAGTTTACTTTAAACAATATATTTACTTTAGACCAACAATATTTAAAGGTGACTTTACACACTTTAATGACAATAAAAAGAATAACAAGACTTTGATTGTATAATGAAATACTCTTAAATCAGCATTGCACAGAAATATTTTAAACATTCCTGTAATGTTGTAATACTTTTTGGAATGTGCCTCTGGCTACTCAGTCCAGCCTAGAAGGAATAGTATAGGTCAATTCACAGAACTTAAGAACCCCTCCATGTGGCATCATAGATGACCATTAATAAAGGTGGCATTCACTAACTTCTGGTTGAACTGCCTGGCCACACCCACCAACCACCACCACACATACACTATGGCTCAGTGACCCAAGAGGGATACAAGCCCTAAAGGAGGGATACATTTCACCTGAAATGGTGAAACGCATAGCCAACAAACACATGAAACTAATTTATAGCCATCTCAAGATAACCACCACCACACATACACTATGGCTCAGTGACCCAAGAGGGATACAAGCCCTAAAGGAGGGATACATTTCACCTGAAATGGTGAAACGCATAGCCAACAAACACATGAAACTAATTTATAGCCATCTTTAAAAGGACAAGCTGAATAGCAAAGCATCCTGAAGGGCCACGAGAAATCCATAATAATGAGACCACCAAGAACGAACAGCACATTGGCATGGGAAACAGAGGAGAGGCTTTAAACTGGAGATGGGATTCTCATCCTCGCAAGAGCAGCACCCGAAACCCAAGGCAGAAATGAAGAAGGCACTTACAACATTGTGTGAGGTAAAGAACTTCATATGCAAGCAAACAATTTGGTTTACTTCTAAATTTGCCTCGAGACAGAACACATTCCCATTATAGATAATTATGGATCCATCACTGAGCCGAACAAGGGAAGGTGGAAAAGGTTTAAGTAGACCTCACATGTCCAAATGGAAAAGGAAGACACATCCACTTTCTCCTTGGTGCACTGTATTCTTGTACCACAAGAATAAGATGTAGTGCTGCCAACTTGTAGCATTTGGTTGGGATAGCCAGAGTCCAACAAGTAGTTTGTAACAGCCCTCACATTTGATGCCACAATAAGACAAAGCTTTGAAAATTTATGGACTATTCTAAATTGGTTTAAGTATTTTTCTATGTTGAAGTGTACTATGGTATGACTCTGTAGGAAAATTTTTAAACCCCCTTTGCTGTATGTCGACATGCCTTAGACACAGGAAAACCTATTTTAGGAAGCAACCAAATTTGACAACTAGAACATATTTAGCTATGATAAATATGTTCTAGTTGTACAAATATAAAATGTTGAATCTCACATTCAACATTTTATATTTAGCTACACATTAGAATAAATATAATGCCAATTTATATACCTGGTTATTCTACATACAAATTTAAATAATTTCATAATTATTACACCATTTATCTACTTTCATAGAGGGTGATAAAGCCGCAGACCAGACAAGTTTCCTTTTAAGACAAGTGTAAAAACCTTAACAAATAACAAATAATAGAGACCTCACCAAAGCCAGAGTGGCAGGGCAGAAAGAAGCACACAGCTTTCACAATTTAAAAAATATAGAAGAGATTTAGAATATTCTCTATATATAATACCGTATAAATTTTTACAAAATATATAGAAGCAAAAATATGGAAAGGATTACCACCTCTGGCTGGAAGAAAGGGACCCTTAGCCTCGGAGGAAATCACACACAATGCATTAGAGGGAATGTTTAGATCCCCTCCAATACAATTTCTGTGTAGCAAATATGTATTTTACCTTATGTCCTAGCTTGAAAACTTGATCGTAATCTGTGCAGTTGCTATTAATCATGATTGAATCAGTGTCTCCATATATAACATCAAAATTCATTTTTTGAACAAGATCCTGTGTGTTCAGTAGAATCTCACGCCCTTTACCTGGAATTTGCAGACACCACCATGTAACATAATTCTTAAAAATACAAAAAAACAAGATGAAGCACATTATATAACAAATACATACAAAGGAGTAAATATAATAAGACTCAAATCTCTAAACCTAAATGAGATGCACTGTAAGGCTGTAACAGACTGTAACAGACTAAGGTTAACAGTCTGCACTGTAACAGACTAAGATTAACAGCAGCTCACAGACAGGAGCATGTATTTTCTGCACCTGGGTGTTATAAGCCATCAAGAGGACTAAATGGATTTTGTCGTGATGTGAATAATAGGTACAAATTATAGGCAGGCAAGCTGAAATGGCAAATAAAATTGGAACAAAGAGCAAGTGTGTATTGGATTATATGTTAGCTGTCTGTAATGAAAGTACACATATGTTAAAATAATGGCCAATTCATGACCAAAATTTCACAGGAAATATAACATAAAAGCTAGATAATAAACAGCCATAAAACAAGCAGTGAAGCATTTCTACCTAAAAAAAAAAGCACCCCCCTGAAAATTACAAACAAATCATCTACTGGACTATCTATGCATCTTTATGCTTTTGCCAACATAAAATGATTACAAATTCTACTACGACCTTGTGCAGTGCATCTATGACCATAGGTATCCATATATAACCTGAGCATGCAGTTGCACACTAATGGTATCTCTATGTGTGCATGTATGAGACCCCAGCATTTTATCACTTAAAGGCAGCTCTTCATACAGTTCGTAAACTGTATGAAAAGCTGTGTCCATGTAACAAACATTTTTTTTTACAGATCTCTAAAGTGTTTTATATGTTAATCTCATCACTGAAGTTATTAGTAAAATGTGATATCTTGATAACAAAAACTTTCATATATGAAATAACAAATAGAACTGAATGTGGAGAACAAAAAATTAAGGTTTATTTATAAAGCAAGAAGAGACATAATCTTGATGCTTGAACAAAATATTTATGTACCAAGCACAGTAGAGACTTATTTATATACATCTGCTTATAGTTAAGCATCAAAATATGATATTTTTCTCAATCAGTTTTCTTTGTTAATTTGTTTAATTATTTTCATTCAGTTCTGCCTTGATTCATATAAGAAAATATTTAAACTGAAAATATCCCATGTTGCAAATGAACTTCACCACACCAACTACAATCTAAGTTACAATTTAAGCACTAAACTTCATATATATGAAACATGCTAGTCTAAATGTGCCCCCCCCCCTTACATTACCTGTAACAAGTGCTGCAAGATGACGGGCAAAGAATCTGGAGTGAGAAAAGCCAAGACATCCATACATGCTGTTTGCCGTCAACTTCAAAGCCTTTTGTCGAATGTCGTACTGCGGAGAATATACACAATTGTCAACTGCAATACTTAGTACCTGTATTCACTAGTAACAATAATACACCATACATGCATTTCTTTTAGGTATAGTGCTCTTAACTAGCATAGAACTCTGAGCAGAATGACAAGATCCATTTGTAATAGTTCCCAAGTATTACTTTATTATACAGTTCAGATGCATAAGATATCACATTAGCTAAACTCATCTCATTACCAAATGTTAAGAATCAAACAAAAATTTTAAATGTATGGTAAAATACTGTAACTAATTAGGCTATTCAGTGTCATGTTCTCACAACAATACTGTAGGTGCAAATTATTTCACATCCAGGACCACAATTACTGCTGGGTGTACAAAGGCAAATAGGGTGACGGAATGTTATTCTATCGTCCAACCCAGCCCAGGATTTGAACACAAGACTTCCACTTATGAAGAAAGTGTATTAACCACTGAATCATAAGGTGCTCCCATTTAACACACATTTAAGATTTGTTTCAATTAAAAACTTAAATATAAATATATTACCAGACTATAGTTATGAAGTATTAAACTAAAATGTAAAAGTAAATTAATATTTAATCTCAGTGTCCATCCCTCATATAACCATGAGGGGCAGGCAAATGAATATTTAATATGTTTAATAAATCAAAAAGAAATACTTAAAACATTAAGATCTGACTATAAAATACAGTACTCCTTCCCTGGGTATAATAATATGAATCTAAATGTGGGACAGGAATGCATTTTATAAAATGTTCAACGTAATGAGACAATGTCAGACCTGTTGTTTCAAGTCGATGGATAAATCTGGTTGTTTCATCATCTGCTTCACTTGCCTCCTACTCTCTACCAGCTTCCGAATTTCTGTCGGTAGGACTCCTGGCTCTAGCTCCGGGTCTGGCAGAGCTGGCATCTCTTCGTCATTCTATCCAAAATTAATATACAATTATTAACAAGATAAATGATAAAATATAGGCAAGGAAGGTACACAATTACTGAGTAGTTTACTATTAAAACAGCTGTGACCATGCATGTCACAAAAGGTCATAAATGTATGACATCATTATAGAATGTTTGAAAAAACTAGTGAATAGAACCATAAGGAAAAAGTACTCAGTATGGAACTGTACATTGACTATACTGTACATTGACCAATGATGTTGTGGATGCTATCTCTAACTCAAATGCAAAAATGATACAGAACATAAATGACAAGTAATTTATACATGCAATAGGTACAAGAAGATAGAAGGCAGGGGAACAGCTGACTCGCATTCCCCTTAACTACTTAGAGGGAAGCACATGTCAACCATTTCATTCCTGCTAAACACTTATATCAAATCTAGCAGGCAGAAAAACTGAAAACCTTAAAATTTTACACTACTGTATTGTGGTGCCCCCCATTAACACAGTTGAACAATTACTCTTTACTTCTAGTTACGAAAAACACTTTATTAGCAAATTATAATTCCTCACTCAAAATCTCATTCATAATTCATACCAAATTTACTCCATACAGAACCATATACCAATATTCGCTATACCGCCTCCACTCTATAACAAATAGTAAAATATCTTCAATATATATACCTGTATAGTACTAATTTGAAACAGCATAATTAACCCACAATTGTATAGCTTAATGTATAAGTGAAACTATTAAATACTTGTAAAATAGAGCACTATTTAATTGTCACATTGTACATACGACCTACACACTGGTCTACATGGCAAATCCTGTATGCATTATTGTCTGCTAATCAGTGAGGGTACTATGGACTACTAATCTGTGCGTGAATTAGAGTATATTGGTAAAGGCAATAACCAGTTATTTTGCTTCTATTGTAAACTATAGTGATTAAAAGAACAAAACGAATCTGTGTATAGGACATATACTATACCTCTTTGTTCACCCGATTCATTGTAGTAAAGCAAATGTTATATTCCTGGATGATGCTTGGGTAAAGGGAGTTGAAATCCATCAATAAAATATACTTGTCATAGAAACCTTTCTTGGGCTCTAGCACCAAGCCACCAGCATATGCGGGTTTTCGACGACCTTTGCCTCGCTTATTACCACCTCCATCTTCTTCCTCTATATCATCATTTGAAACAGCCTAATAATATATAAATATATATTAAATTCAAGAACAAGAAGATAGTATGTATGACAGTCAATGATTTATCTAAGTTCTAAGAATGTGACTCAAGATGAAATAATTCAAAATAAGGCTTTAAGCTTTTGTGAAAAGTTCATTTTTCAGTCATATCATTTGGGTGCTTGATCATGTAAGAATTCTTAAACAAGATGAAAAGACAAACACAGGAGTAACCCTAAACTAGAGTACAAGACAAAAGTCCACAGGAAAATATTGTCTAGCTAAGATGCATAGGCACTAGCACAGCCTTTGGCCAAAGAATGGTCGTGTTGGACTGATCCAAGATAATGTAGATCTCACATGGACCTCACACTCAAACTAGTAAAACAAAAAATGTTGAAGGTCCAAAGATAATGAGCTATGAGGATAGGCATAGTAAACTAAAACTAACAACACTGGAAGAGGAACAAAATGGGATATGATCACAGTGTACATGATACAGTACTGTACTATGGATACCAAAACCAGGAAACTACTCTACACAAAATTAAATTTGCAGAATATACTTTACAAACCAATGGTAGCCTAAATTTTCACACTCTTTATAATTGTTTTTGAGCATGCTCACAAATTTTAATGAGTGACATTATTAACACCGCTATTTACATTACCTTCTGGTTTGTTTTGCCAAACTGCTTGTCAGGAACTATGAAGTTCTTTTCGGTGAAGGCATGCAGCAAGAGAAATTCATTCCTTTCAGACCGACCACCAAGAAGTGTGCGTGACATCACATTTCCTGAAAAAAAAAAAAGATATGTTACAATCACAGTCAACAGATGAAGACATAGCCAGTCATAATGTCAGGCATTTTGCAAAATAAATGAAATATTAAGACTATTCATAAAAACAAAAATGTCTCCCCTGGAATTGTGCCAAATCCCAAGATTTCATCTCTACCAAAATGTGATAAGATGCCTTCCTATTACGATGTATATTCCTTCTGTGCTCTTTTCACTTTCCCAGTCTTTACATGCACAATCTGCTCACGATGACTCTGATGTGAGTCATTCTGAGCAAATTCTGATTTTGACACCCATACCCTAGATAACGTTCTTCATCCACATTTCTTAATATCTTCCAACATACAATAATTTATAAGTTGAGGGTGGCCTATTTTGATCTATCCCACATTCCACTACAAGACATTAACATTGAATGGCATATACAGTATTGCTTCTCTCGCTTATTTTGTACATATCATCTAGGTCTCTTACTCTTTCTAGTTGCTTACTACCAACTGTGAACATATTTATATAATTCTGAAATTACATTCAGTGGATTGTTTATAAAGACAATGAAAAATGCTGGATAAAAACAGAGCCTTGTATTATTCCACTAACATTATACTGTACCTCCAATTCATCATTTGTATAATCATTGCTCCAATTTTTTTTTATCCAAGAAATTTTCATCAATGCCATAGTATAACAATTACCAACCTATGTTTGCACAAGTGTGTATGTGTCTGGACGTATGAGATCAAAATGATCTTATTTTCTTACAAAATTATTTGAACATCATTTTGCATCGGCAACATTATTGTTCACTGATGATCCTTTCAAGTTTTCCATACACAAAAGCTATATTTACTATACGAAGATACTTTACCAGCAATATTTGTTATTTGCAGGGCCAGTGGCAGTACATTTAACTCGCACATGAGGCCAAGAATATACAAAGCATCTTGCATGGTTAATGACACAAGCCGAAGTAAACTTGACGATGATCTGCAAATAGACAAAAGTTTCTAAATTTAAGGATTTTACAGAATAAGAGCTTTTTATCTTAAAACTTGAAAGATGAAAAGTTCTATAATTCAAAATATAATCAGAGAAACATGAAAAATAGTAAAAATAAAAAAATACTCACTCATACATCTTTTTGACTTCATCTACAGTCAAAGACTTGAAGTGGTTCTCAGGCACATGGAGTACTTGTGAGACTAATGCTCCAAGCTCATAGCTTTTAGCTCTAATAAGTTCTTTGGATGAGATTTTTAAGTCACACACAAGACGACCACAGAGAGCTGTCCTCTCTGCAAATCCCTTTCCCTATTGTAAGAACAAAATATTAGATAATGAGCCAAACTTAAATACACTTATATAATAATAAATTAAAAACTTTCAAATCTGAGTGGCCGATGTGAAAAAGATTAATAAGTACTGTGGACAAAGACAATTTGAAGACAATTATTTTTCTTCAGTCAATACTTTTATAAGTGTTAAGTTAAACCTGGTCTGAAAATAATAGCCTATGCTTTTTAACTGACCCTTACCTTAGTTTTGACTACTCCTGCACCTACCAAATTAAAAACATTTTTTTTATATATTGTTTATTCTTCCCATTTTCACAATTTGTTTTGTAAAATTTGTAAACTACAGGAACAAAGATGAGTCGCAATTTATCCATTAAATTGGTCCACAAAGTAGCATATAAAAATTACCAACCGTTAACTTGGGCATCTGAGTTCGCCTTAGCCGACCAAGACGAGACCAATGAGGAACCTTATTAGCACTGATACGATGAAGTAGCACATTCAGGTCGAAGCCAAAAATATCATGACCTACAACAATATCTGGATCTATCTTATGAATCTTAGCAAGCAGGAATCCCAGAAGAGCTCTCTCAGTGTCAGACTTCTCAACTTTGGAGTGATATCGGCTGAGAGCATCTTTCAGGTCCCAAGGCCAAGTGACATCCACTGGATGAGTCATGGCTGTTGAAGATGTTCAAAAGTAAGTACTCTGGACAAGTCGTTGATATAAAATCACGATGAAATAGCTAATATTCAATCTTCTGTAGATGCATTTATTTGCACAGTACTTTGAAGAATATGCATCCATCTCTATTATATATGAGGAACACTGTTATTCAAGTTAATGACAGTGGATAATGATGATCAATACTAATTACTGTACACTTTAAGTGTATCCAAAGTTAGTTTCAAGCACTGTATGTCTAGTACTGAAACACAACTGCCAGGATAAGGCCATACATCACTCAGTAACCTGCTCAGCTAGTCTATGTCTTGTAATTCATAACTCAGTAATTCTTTTAATTCATTGGTAAGCAAGGTAGCCCAAGAGGGCACCTGTAAAATTTTCAGTGACCAAATTGTGCCTTTGAACTTAAATGAACAGTTACTCACAGATCTAGAATGGTTGAATGCATGAATTAGTTATGCTCAGTAGTATTAACATACGCAAATTAACTGTGCTCAGCAAAGTGAATTGTGTTGTGGTATATACTGTACTCAACATAGTATGCAAGTGGATTAAAGTAAACAATTGTAGTTTGATTGGTCTAGCACACATCATGTAAGACAGTGTGAGAACAGATAAGCCAAATCAAGAATCTGAACAAGTGACTTCATGCCTCATGATGAATGAAGTTTGAGTGAGCAATGAACTATTTTAGCTTGATATTTGTGGCATGAAACATAAGATGACTGAATTGGGCACAGTGGCTACAGTGAATTGGGCTACATAGCAGAGTCACTATGACAGGGCTGAATGTATTGAAGCTGTAGCTTGCTTTGTTCTAACACTGGACTTATGGTCTAGAATGAATAAGGCATTAAGTCTTTATTGAGAGTATGAGATAATTAGCTTCACATCTCTCTCCCCTATTAATTGAAATATTTTTTTTTCTCCCTACATTCAGAATAACCTGTGGAAAAATTTGACTGTCTTTTCAAATACCATATTTTCAATAAATTATTTTATCATCTTACAATATTCTTCACTGCCTTCTACTCCAACCACTACATTTTCACATACCCCTTTAACTCTGGCAGTTAATACCCACTCAAATATAATCAGGACTAATGATTCACATTGACAATAACAAAATATACAGAATGATAATCAAGTATGAGAGGAAACAAATTGAAACACATATCTTACAAAAAACTACATACGTACAAGACTAACAACTTACAGCAGAAATGCGTCTGAAATTGAGGCTGAGGCGGGGCTTTGTCAAGAGGAAATTCATGATGAATGAGGCAAGACACCATTGCCACTTCACTTTGATGGGTCTTTGGGTTTAAGGTTGATCGCATACTTAAGGACATCACTACTATTGGTGGTATAGCCAAGCCTGTTATTGGGGTTACACAGTCTGGCTTCATTGCCACTGCCTGAAGAGTCAAATACAGTGTTAGTGTTAAGATGAACATAAAAATACTATATGGTTTAAATTGGATGACAGTCAATAATTCTCTCAAGAGATGCATACCTAAAATTAAACAATAAAGTAACAATAAATTTAACAGATCTTAGAGGCTGATATTTATTTTAATCATAATCAGGAATATCGTTAGAATAAACAAAAAAGTAAGGAGACAATCTCCAAGTTCAACAAAAATTAACTTTGTCTGATATGCATGAAACACAGGGAGGCCAACTCAATCAGGTCCATGAAATTTGTGGAAACATGGAAATATCACATCCTGTGTGGAATACTTGAGCTTGGGATGCAGTCACACACAGTATAAGATGAAATAAATGATAATGGCAAAAGCAAAATAAAATGATGATTAAACTAACCTCAATTTTACACCATGAAACAGCTGGAGAAGACAACTGAGGAAGCTTTACATCCAACCACCCTGGACCTTTGATTCGTCGATCAAGTAAAAATAATTCCATGGCTGAAGAGCTAGTACCAAAAGCATGGCTGAAGGTTTCACCACATAAATCACCCGGAAGTGCCGGAAAATCTGCCTGTAAAATTAATAAGAAAATTGAGTAAGGTGTTTCCCCATTCCTCATCCACTAACACTGCAAAATAAGTAACAAAAATAAAGAAATGCTTTTAATACAGTATTTTTAATTATTTGTATTTTGTTTAATGACATTCACTCTAATACAATATAGAGGAATAAGAAGTTTTTTGGTACACAAACATACCCACAAAACTAGCCAAAACTCTTATGAGACTAGAGGAACCGAGACCAACCAGTACTTATCACCCAAGTAGGATCTTCCATTGCAACCAGCAATCTAGCTTCTCCTACCTGCCACCCCTCAGAGCAACACAAGTACAGTATGTGCTAATTTGTTTTAAACCTAACTGTATCAGTAAGTGATCCCTTTCCTCTCCAATGATGTTATATAAGGGTCCAGTGAATTTTAATGCAAAAATCAAGTGGAAATAAGAAAATGGGCACTTTAGTTGAATTTGTTTTTCAGCAAAACATTCAGTTTGATGATGGAACTCTTTTTGTCACAAACTTTCTGTACTAGAGATTTCAAAAGAAATGAACCCAGTCTGCAAAATAGTCACATTGCATGCATACAGTTTTTTACCAAAGCACATTAGTTAGAAATATTAATAACACCTCATGGTTCCATGTGATAACTTACAGAGTAACGAACTTCTAAATATTCAGATTCTTCTGGAACTTCACATTTCTCGAAGCAGTATTTTTTGTTGACTATTCTAGATTTGAACTGAAGTATTTTGTGCGTGTTGGATACAGTGGAGTTAAATTCTTGATAGACATCCATCATAATTACGTCTTCTCCTTCCTCATTAGTCTGCAGATTCAGCCTCTGAAAATGCCAGTTTGTTAAAATCATCACTTCAAGTGGTCATACACAGATGAAGGGAGCAGAAGGCTGAACACAAGGTACCATCTGGGAGGTGAAATCCTGCAAGAGACAAATAGAGAAAGATCTGGGGATTGATATCACACCGAACCTGTCCCCAGAAGCCCACATCAAAAGGATATCACCAGCAGCAGTTAGATAATTGCAACAAAAATAAAGCACTAAAAACCTAAGAGATATGTATTTTAAATAGTGTTGGAGCCAGAATGTTGTCCTGCTTGAATGCATGATCTTGTCCTACAGCTAAAGCATATGATGCCTTAGAAAGTAACTGAAAGAACAGTTCAGAAAAAATACCTTTCACCTTATAATGGCTATATTTGAGGAAGCACATATTTCAAAAATAAGTACAGTAAATAGACTGATTTTCAAATGCATGCCAAGTACAGTAGTATATTTTGAATGATATTGTCAATGTTGAACTGCTAGACATCAAACCCAAAATTCTAAAAATTAAGGAATTGACGTTATTTTGGCTTGTCCTGGAATGAAACATCATCAATTCCTTTATTTTCAGATTTGGGGGGTTGGGCTTCTGATTTCTGCCACATTATTATGACTTATTGTCTGCATGAAACTGTTTACGGAACACGTTACATCAGTTATCCATTTAAACATGAAATATTATGCATAAGCACAACAGATCAGAAAACAGGATCACGCCTACACTAAAGACTACAATGTCATAGGCACTAAATACAGTATGGAGAAGTGAAAAAGACATGTTTTTAGTCAAGTTTTTGCAACTGCAGTAGACCACTCATTTTAAAAAGTTAGATAGCTGTAAAAAAAAATTTTTTTTTTTTGTTTACAAGATTTTGGTGAGAATGTTTAAAATTACTCAAAGTATAATACACATGTACAATATATAGTCACCTTTTTCCGGGGCAAGAGGAACAATCTCCTTTCATTATTCTTAACGGACACACAGCAACTGACAAAAGTCCGAGCTGACTCTACCCACACCTTGCCAAAAAGGAAAACTGTTCCTGGTTGCTTGTAGACATCTTCATATGCATCCAACCAATAAAATCTTAATACCTGTTGAATTCATGATGATGTATACTGTACAGTGCTACATATAGTACATCCAAGATACCCACATATACTGGAAGTTATTTAGCATAAACATTCATACTGACTGGTAAAACAAATACAGGTATAAGGAACCATAAGTCTGGTAAATAGTAAGCGTGATAAGCGTGACTCAATTTCTAAATAACGTTATAAATTTTCATTGTTTAAACATATGCCTTACAGGAAAACTATAATTATATAAATAAACAAGATATTGCATGAATATTAATTTTGCTTTGAGGCAAATTTACCTACTGTACTGTACCATTAGGTACAGTATCTACAAAATGTTTTAATACTTTGTTCATCTGAACATTTTACTTTTAATATCAAGGCAGTTGTACCTGATCTCCGTCAGCATTAGTAGTGAGAGGGAGATGAGATGAATCTATCTGGACATCTTGGTTGAAAGTGGTTTCCTTTAGCTCTCCCTTAACAGTTTCCCAGCCCGTTGCCAGTAGACTCTCGTCAACTTGTGGTCTGTGTAAAAACAGGTGTAAAAAAATCCCATGCCAGTGACATTTCTTATATGAAAATCTGGCAGAAATTTAAATTTTATTTAGATATGAAATGTATCTACCAAAATTCTGACAGAAAACTGAACGAACTAGTTATATTTCAGAAAGTAACAATTCAAAATAGATACCCTCTTCCTCACCAAAGAGAGCGGTGCAAATAACAGGGGAATGGAAGTTATCAGTATCTACTGGAAGGGTGGTCAAGGTCCTTGTGCCGTGCCTGCTAGTTTTTTATACCTTGAGTATTTTTACATCTCTATGTTCAATGTTTGGTGACATATTTTCTCTTGAAGTTGAGAATGAGCGTGGGTTTGATAAGTTCATTCAATGCATCCAACTGTTAACCTCTTGAACTGAGTATATGAACTTATTTATAATGCTATGAGCAAATTGTACCAAGCAAAATCGTAATATTAACCTATCTAATGAGTTATCTACCAGGAAAACCAGATGGAACAGAGGTTCTTTCCCTCATCACCAGTCACTAAACTTGGCTTTCAAAAGTTTATCTTTTGTCAGTTTCAAATTCTACTATCCAACCCCAGTCTTTTGTCAGGCTTGTAATTTCAAATAAAGTTAAAGTGAAAGTCAGCCATGCAATTAATTTTCTCTAAACAGGGGCACTGATGTCCCACAACTTATTGTTTCTTTTGGACAAGATTTAATAGGACAATATTTTATAGCAGGATACAACCAGAATTTAAATAGTTATGGACAATTACCTTAGTGATTGTAAAATTTTAACTAGCCATACCATGCTTTTCAAACCAGGTCATTACCTTTCCCAAACCACAACTCTTTCTTGAACTGAAGATTTTCTATCAAATGCTGAGGAGCCTAATTTAAATTAAAATTTAAGGAGATTATGCAGAGTCCAGCCACATTCTGTTATAGCATGATTTGTTCCAATAGCTATTTTTTAAACAGATAATTTGTTCTTAAATAATAAAGAATTATATATACTGTATTTATACATAACCACCCCTAAAAAATACTCACTTAGCCGTGAAGCCTCGATTACTTTCTAACTTCACATCTTCTATTTTTTCTGCTTTCACTTCATTTATGGTTACAGATTCTTTCTTCTCTTCATCAATAATCATTGCCTCCATCTGATAAAGCAAAATATTAATTGGAATTAATAAAATAAGCCTTGAGATCATATGAAAAGCACTTCTGTATCATGCAGGATGATAGTGTAATTGTATCATACAGGGTAAAATTCAGGTACAAGTGCAGCATAACATTTTGAAAGAAGTCCTTGCTCAGACATTATGATAACATATTTTTCTATCATTGGGTGTGTTTATACAAATTCACAAATTCATATAAATTCATTGCAAACAAAAATCAGTTTTGTAAGATGAAATAAGTCCTTTAACAGTACAGTATTGAAACCCACCTGTTAAACTGATAAAAGATAATCAGGAGAATGTTAAATGGCCCACTAGGGTATATCCTCTTATGTAGTGCTGTCACGTTACGACAGTCAAAGTAGGTGACCAGATGGACCAAGTGGTTGCTAGCAAAGCACTCCTTGGCAGTCTCTTTGATGCCAAGGATTGTTGGAAGGCTTATTAATTAATGCTTCCCAAAGATCATTCAAGTTAGATGGTAATCCCTATTGCTCCTACTACTAAAATCACCCAATAAGGACTGTCTGAAATGTTCCTCAAGACACTGATGCCAGAAAGTCCCCCCCCCCCTACCTATGTTACAGTTCCTACTGAGAAAGTGGATTCTCTCCTTATTTGGTAATCATATCGAATAGCTCAGAAACAGTTGGAGAATTATCAGTGATGATAAACAGCACTTCACAAGAACAAATACTATTACTTTCATGACGTAATTACCCGTTAATGTGGAAATTAATTTTTTTAATCTTACAGCCCAACCAAAGTAATCACAATCTGGTTGACCTAGTAACTCCTGGAGGCAATTGTCAATCTAGTTCTCTCTTAAATGCGTCAGCCTTCATTCCATCTATACTTCTTATAACTGCTGGTAAGGTGAAGTCATGACCTTTGGTGTTCACGGTGTTCTCTAATTGTGCTTATGGCACCCCTACTTTTCACCAAGTTTGTTATACACCCACCTTATCTCATATTACAATGTCCTTAATCACTTTCATGTCTTATTGCTGGGTCCAAAACTAATAATAATAATAAACTTGATTTTTACCAAATGATTTAACCAATAGTCTTGAAGTGTCAAAGATCCTCTTTGACATGCCTTTAAGCATAATAAATTCATGTAACTACAAACTATAGCTTAATGGCAGAAAAAAAAAGCATTTAATCAATATAGGTTGATTATGTAAGGCAATTACATACCAATGATATATTGAAATTTATGCCACAATAATATAGCTAAGAATTACAATTCTACTTTCATTCCCCTGAGAGAGGCAATGTACTCACATTTTCTACATCATCATCATTAAACTCCCCATCCATAAGGTCCATGGTATCAAACTCTTCAACATGTTGAGAAGGCGTTTCCTCTTTAGCGTGTTGAGAAGGTATTTCCTCTTTAATGTCCAGTGACCTCTTGGCCTATGAAAGGAAAGCAATGCAATCAAATAAAAACAAATTAACTAGAATAATGTTCTAACATGTTCCACTGTCTTTGTATTATTAAAAACATATCTACTGAAACTTTTTTTAGTACATCCATGGTACAGAACAATCACAGCCATAGTCACTCTTCCTGTGGATATTTTTATAACCTGATCTCAGATACCACATATGTAAGAGTTGATGACCAAACCACAACTCAGAAGATGGAGAAGCGACTATGTTTCGGTCCATCCTGGACCATTATCAAGTTGTGTGATAGTAAGTAGTAAGATAAGTAGTACTTAAATGTATAAAATAGAAAGTTAAGAAATATATGTAAACAAATGGCTATCACTACTGACATCTATATTTGCATAACTGTCCAAAAACTAAGAAGTCCAACATCATATACCTTAGGTGAGGCCCCATTGATAACATTGTCTCCAGAAATGCTGCGAGGTTTGAGTGGTTTTGAGGACGATTTGGGCCGTGATGGAGTAGTAATCTGAGGTCTTGCAAAAGGATTCACTGAACTTTTGTTGGGCAATGGAGAAGGTTTGCTAATTTTCTTCTTGAGGAAAGTTGGCTGTGGAGGTCGGATTGTGGCTGGCTCTTTGTCCAAGTCCTGTAGAATGTCTTCCAGTAGGTTGTCATCATCAAGGCGAACCAGGGCCTGCAATGTAAAGTAAATAATATTCAGTTGAATTATACTTCAGATAGTATAAAAATCATAATACTGTATTATTACAAATTCTAGAATCATAAGTATTACAATTACAATTAATGTCTCGTCATCCAAATAAAGCAGATAAAATCTAACAAATATAGTGTGCAAGTCTTACCAAAAATATTCCATTATTCAAATGTTTCATATCACCTAATTATCTTTTAGACACTTAATGAACTTCAATGCAGAACTATGATACATTGCATTAAACACTTGTTTTTAAAAACAAAATGGAGGAAATGCAAAATCCTTGAGTTTATACTATACTGTTGGACATTAATGCATTATCAGCAAAAATAATTAGCCTATTTTTATTTTATTTTTATCAGGTATAGAAGACTAGGAGGAGGGGGTATATAGGGTTAGATCTCACTCCCCATAGTCACTGATAAGTACTTAACTATCAATAACTATAAGGAGGTGAGGTCTAGTTCTTTATGCCTATATTTCCATATTACAGCACTAAATCACATGGGTTTGTGTTATTCTTGCAAACCACACGTTGGCAAAGGTGGTCAGTCAGTAATTTTATGCACCCAAAATGAGCAAAATAAAGTGTTACTAGAGGAGGACGAGATGTTTGGGCTCATTCTCTCACACCTGATGTCTCTGTTCACCTAGCAGTAAATAGGTGCCTGGGAGTTAGCCAACTATTGTGCCTTGCATTTAGGGAAAGATCAACTGTTGCCCTGCAGGAACTATGATAAGCCTAACAGGCTTCCTGGCCTCAATAATGGGGAACTATCCGTTGTGTAATATCAATACTGGATTATACAGGACAAGTACAGTAAAAGTAATTCAAAATCAAACTTACCTCAGCTTTTTTCTTTTTTGCTGGCATGTTGATAAGCATGTTTTTAATATTTCCAGTGCCATGCCTAACAGATGAGCCTGATGATTTCTCACTGGATCCTTTAATCTTCTTATTACCCTTAGTTTTATTTTTTTTTGATAGGAAGAGGTCATCTCCATCATTGTCCTCGTCAAATATTTCCCTTCCGTCTTCAACATACCCAGAGCCATCTTCCGGAAACAATTAAATGCATTACAATACTGTACAATATTTATAATTAAAAAAATCTCACCTCATAGTTTTAGGGGCAGGTTGGACAACAAGAGAGATAAACATTATTCCTAATGCAGAATAATGCATTATTCCTAATGCAGGCTTCAGATGAACTGATGTAGGAATACAGCTCTTAGCTTGCAGTTTCATTAAGAACACCAGCACCACTTTTAATAAACCCTAGTTTAAAAGACAAAAAAAAAATAGTGTCGAGACAATGTACAAGTGAGCCAGCAAGGGAGAGAAGTGAGGAGGGGAACTACCAGGAGAAAGCACCAAGCCATTATGACTATACAGCACTTTGAAGGGATCTAGATAAGTATTTGGGATGGGATGGGGGAAAGGAATGGTGCCCAACCACTTGGAAGGTCAGGGATTGAACGTCAATCTGAATGAAGCGAGACCGTCGCTCTACCATCCAGCCCAAATGGTTGGGGAGAGGGGGAGGGGGAAGATACGAAAGGGAATGAGAGTAGGTGAAGTTCTAATGATAAGCAACATAATATCCTTAATGACTCATTGCTACTTACCACCTATCAATGTGTTTTCTTCTGGATATATATGTATCTAATGTAAAAAAAAATATACTGTATAAACAATATCTATTTAAGTTCCTCAAGCAAATTAAACTAAAATACCAAGAATAACATTTGGAGAGAAATAGAATTTCTTACCATCATCAATTATCCAGTCAGCTTCAAGGCGATCCTGTCGTCGTTTGGAGTATTCACGTTCATCCACTTCATCATAAACATTCACAACTCCAGAAACCTGCAAAGCATTAATGTATTGAATCTAAACCTCTACATCACTGTACACATGCTTTATGTACTGTGCAGAACATTTATATGCTGTATGTTCATCTTTAGTTAGAATATACTTAACATAATATTGTACTACACTTCTTTTAGACATTACTTTCCTATAAAATATATTCACTTATTTAAGTTAAATGGGTTTGATCCAGCACATGATAAATCAACTTATTTGTGAATTGCCTGGGGCCTTAATAAATTATTAAAACTATATAATTTATTATTAAAAAAATGCCTATTAGTTGCTATTACACTAATTAAAAAAATAGGACTCTTAAAAATGACCCTAGTTGCTTTAGAGATTTAAATTTTTTAACATCTAAAAATACATTTTAATATTATGAACACTAAATTTTGTAAAGAACTGAGTGTATCAAGTTACTGTATATTATTCTACACTGTAGAAGTTAATGTTGGTATTGGTTACATTTTTTTTTTAAGACTTGAGTTACTCTGGATTCCTTAAGAATATCAGCAAAGGCTTTGAATACTAGCAATTTATTGCTGAATAATTCAAAAGCTAGTGCATGTCTGAAGATATATTAGGTTGGTATTTCAGGTTAGTTTCCTGCCTACATAATTTATATCTGAATAAAAAATATCTTATGACAATCAAGTTTATCTTTTTGTTGACCAGACCACACACTAGAAGTTGAAGGGACGACGACGTTTCGGTCCGTCCTGGACCATTCTCAAGTCGATTGTCAGCCATGATATAATAATTATTATTCAATAACATACAATAATTCAATAACATACTTCAGCCACGTTATTGTGACTCATCGCCTGTTTATCTTTTTCTCTCACTTGCCAGACAAAACACATTAATGAAATCCTCATCACACATCAAACAAAATTTACGACAAGAAATAACCAAGAACAAAATAAAGAAAACACATATCTACCTCATATTTATGTTTTGAGCCTTTTAAACCCCTGAGTCGGTCTAAAGCAGCCTTACGACCATGCTTATCTTTAAGAGTTCGACGGGATCGCGAAGATGCAATACTTTCTATAGCCTCCTGGGATGCTGAAATGAAAAAAAAAAAAATTATGTAAAAGTGATGACATGTGATATACATAGAAATAAATGAAGCATGCAAAATTTCATCCTTATAAAACTGAGAAAGAATCACGCATGGGAAATATAGTTTCCAAGGATGTGGGGGATCGTCGCCAGCTGTGCTGACAGTGGAGGAGGCTCACACACCACCCCACCCCCATCATGGATGTGCACATAGGCAGTTAACTTTACACTTCATAAATGTACTTTTAATGCAGTCACTTTTAGTGTATTGTACATCTGTACGTCAATAATTCTTTGAACGTACTGTACTCCCAAATCTTAATAAACTATGAATGGTATCTAATGTAAGATCTAATATTAGATGACACCAGGGTAAACACCAAGAAAGGTGAATTATAAATAATGATGTACAGTACTGTATTTGAAAAAAGTACCAAAATCAGCTTAGTTTCCAGTTTCTGGACACCAAAAGAAGGCAATAAACAGAACTTTATCTCCAAATCAATTGAAAATGCCATAGTGCATACATTAACCTTCAGCAAACTACAATACTTTGGATATTAATATCTTATGGTCAGTGGTTCCCAAGGAAGGATTCATCAAACATTTGAATGCCTGGTTACTAGCTTCCAGGCATATAAGAAGTGTAAAAAAAATCCATGAAATATGACATTGCTATACTGTACTGTACTGATACTCTCTGGTCCCGCCTCTCAACTGTCAATCAACTTGTGTTCAGATTCCTGAGCCTATTGGGCTCTATCATATCTACATTTGAAACTGTGTATGGAGTCTGCCTCCACCACATCACTGCCTAATGCATTTCATTTGTTAACTACTCTAACACTGAAAAAAATTCTAATCTCTGTGGTTTTAGAAAGCTGTGGCTTGTGAGAATATCAGTGATAATTGCTTTCCAATGTAGCCAGCTTCCCCAAAAACACTGTGAATACTGTCACACAACTGTAACTCTAAGGGACATGAAGCCTGTCAAGTTTATCCAAGTCCATCTAGCCAAAAGCAAGATAGCCCCATAGCCAATATAGACCAATAGGCCTCCTGTAGTTTCTTTAATTCTTGTCATTATCCAATTGGAGAGAATAAAAATGTTCCAAAAGGAATTTTCCTGGATATACTCTACAGCATTTCGAACACAAGATAGTTTGCAAATTGGTGTTTAAACATACCTATCCTAACCAATCAATTTAACATTGAAGTAACATATTGTAATTAGAAACCAGGTACATGTAACCCCTGAATACGCTTTTGTCGTATCTCGCTTGTCAGTATTCTTAATTTAATGCACAATCCTCAAAAGAACAAAATACTTAAAATTATATAAAAGGAATAGCTTTTCTGCATGAATATATCTAGTTGTTATTGTAGGTCAATACCTAAGAGGGGTGTTGGGCACTACTAAATTGTGTGTAGTAAATAAGATAAACACTAACAGTTGACCTTTTTTTGGCCACTAGGAATGCGAAACAAAGAGCCAGCATGTCTGTCTCACCGGTATCTGCATCAGCATCCATCATAAATGAAGCAGGTAGCAGTAAAGAGCAGTAGACTGGTGTAGGAGACGAGGGTTTGCGCGCGAAACTTTTGTAGTCTGACAACAATCCGGGTGTGATACCGTCCCCAGGCTATGCTGTGCCGCCCGGCTTTCTCTCCTCAGTCTCGGACTCCTCCTTTGAACCTCCACGCGGGAAACCCACCTCCTCTCACTCATTATAGTCTTCTAAACACTCGCTCAGACGTCATTAATAATTCATATATTTTTTTTTACATAATCATCATACTTGAGGAATCGTGCTGGCAGCGTTATTTTGAGTATTGTAAATGGTGTAGAGAGGAAAAAGGCGTTTAGGGAGCCATCGTGGTTCGTGGAGGCGGAGCGAGGAGCCGCATTGCCTGGCGGTGTTGGAACAGTCATATGTCTGTCCTAGTGGTCCCGGCGAAAATGGCGGGGGATCAGCAGCAATTTCAGCAACTTTTGACTGGATTACTAAGTGGGGATAACAAGATCCGACAGCAGGCCGAGGTGAGTACTGTTTAAGAACACGAGGGTGGGGTTGGGGGAGGTTTCTGTGGGAAACATTCAGGTTAAATGGGAGAAAACCTGTCTTTGTGGAGCATGGCGACGTGCCTGGTCCAACGTGGTTCCAGCTTGACTCGTCTTAATGCCTCGTGTTCTGGTGCAAAATTAATTTAGCAAGCGTATTTCTTCCTTTTATTACATGATAGTTTGCTCATTGTATGCACTACATTGTAATATGTATGTAGATAGTCTGCACATATCCAGAAATCCCTCGAATTTAGGGACTGGCGAAGTGTTCAATAACCTACTTTGTTTCAAGAATTTCCTGGGTCATGTTCATGTTTTGTTTTCCATTACTTTCAAGAAGCCAACTGAACAGTTTTCGTTCAGCAACAGTAAAAAAAACGCCAAATGTTGATCCGTAAGCTTATAAATGACTTAACATTAAGTTGAAAAAATAATTAAAATTACTATTCTAGTGAAAATTACAATTCAAGTTATGGCAAGAAATGGAAAAAGATTGCACATTACCAGCGTTCGTTGTAATTAAGTGAGCTGTAAAGGGCTGAACATGGTACATGTCCAGTGGTCACTGATGTGTATGGCCAGCACCCGGGAGCCAGTGCAACATGGGGTAGTTGTATTGATTGTAATTTAGTTTTCGTTATAAGCCCAACCTGCTGGCTGTATCTTAATATATACTGTATTAAATACAGTAGTTACTTGAATACAGAATGTTCAAATAAGGAAAATGGCAGAAGTCATATTGACCCCATGCGAAGCGGGTGTATATACGTAACCAAATTTGTAAATGTGTAAGGGTCACTTTAAACAAGGAATCCCACTACTATTAGCTGGTTATTGTCCAATATGTTGTTTGATGTTTATATTTAGTACACCATTAATATCCATCCCAATTGTCATTTCACATACAGTATTCAAATACTTGTCCCTCCCCCTACTCATACAGGTGAAAATTTAGCGTTCTTAATTTTTTTCATGTGGATGGGGTTTTAATTGTTAGGATTAGCTTCGTTGTTCTTCTGTGTCAAAGTGAAATTATATCCATGTTATAGTATGGTGGGCAAAATTGCTCAGATTAATAATCAAAATGGTGCTTAACAAGAGCAAGAAACTGAAGAGTAACATGTCTTATTAAATGTTTTACATTCAGGTTACAGAATTTGTTTTGTAAAACATCATAAATTTAGTGGTTACCTATCAGTGACTACAAGGAAGTGAGGTTTAGCTCTTTGTGCCCTGCCTACCAGCCTTGTTTTCCCTGTTATTATTTAACTATTCTGATGCTCGAATTCCCTTGTCTAAAATTGAAGTTGGGGATGAAGGTGGCTTCTGCATCTTCTCTTGCCACATTTTCCTCGTTGACCACATATACAGGGCTCGTCGTGTACTGTACTTCGTTCAGCTTAAGAGTTCTCTAGGCCTACTTTCTCAATCTAAAGAGGCTGTCCCTGTCCACCATGTCTATTCCCCTCATTATCTTGTACCGTATGTTGTGATATCTCCCCCCCTCCTGTTTCTTCTGTCCTTTAGTCATGATTCATTTACCTTAACTCTTAGACAGTGGCTATGGACAAGTGGTCATACCTGCCTATGCACAAAAACTATACAAATTTAAAAATAATTGTTTGTTGTAAAATTATTAAATTGTATGCAAAGTGTAAGAATGTGAAAATAAGTTTATATAGGATGCTTTTTGTTTTGTCCTCAGATGTTTCCCTTATTGTTTTATCACTTGTTTTTCTTTATTTACATCCACAGAGAGCTATTAAAACCATATTTGCATTATACATGTAAAACCCAGACAATAAATGTTTAAATTGCCGTATGATGACCACATTCCCGTAGTAACATTCATGATGTCCCCCACATTCATGCCATGAAAGGCTAGCAGGATTTTTTCATGTATCAAGGTACACTCCATTACATCTACATGGACCTATTTTATCAATATATTTACATGTAGAACCAAGACAATAATTGTTTAAATCCTCATGTGACAAATTTGCATTTCACTGTGAATTAACAAATGACGACTTCCGCTGCCTAAGGGTTAAACTGTCCTCATAGCTTAACACTCTTGGCTCTGGCAGTAATCGTAGGAACCTCTATACCTTTTCAGTTTTAGTTTTTCACTTCAAAAAGAGTCTTGACAGGCTGTGTAGAATGCCTTTAGAGTCCCGATTTAGGGTTATAAGTGATGTTACTAATGTTTGCTTGCATGCCATGCTATGAATGTTACCCTGCTTGTGTTCCTCTGCTGTTAGTGTTGGAATCATCCACTCCCAAATCTATCTATCTGATAGATGCTGATGATGATGAAGATTAAGCCACCCAAAAGGTGGCACGGGCATGAATAGCCCATAAGTGGAGGCCCTTTTGAGCCATTACCAGTATCAATAGATGATACTGGAGATCTGTGGAGGTGCGACTGCACCCTGCGTGACGGGAGATGTCTCCCCCTTGATAGATGCTGTTGTTACCTTCCCTTGTGGTATAAATACTTCTTGGACTACTATCACTCTCAATCTTCATTACCGTGCACTTGTTGGGATTAAATTTAGCATTTGTTGGCCCACAACTGAAATGCTGGCAGCAAAGAAATGTTGAAATAGTGAGTTGGGGAGTGGTATAAGAGTCTAGAAAACTGAAGGAGGCCTATTGGCTCATTTGAGGCAGCTCCTACTTACATCCATGCTTGAAACAATCCATTGATACCATGTCTGTTATAGATTAATAAAAATTAATAACCTTGTTTCCAAACCAGTATTTTTATCCCTCACATTCAATAGGGGCAAGGAATTGCAGTCATTATAGTGGGAAATTTTAATTTTGGCAGAATAATGTGGTCAGAAATGACATGTATTGCTGAGGTTGATGACTTTTGGATTGTTAGTGATTGATTTGACAAGTGTTTCACAAATTAACTCTGAAAACAAGTGCTCCTGATTTTGTTGTAACAAACCAAGAAGATCTATTGGAATTTTTTTAATTAAGGTAGGGTGCCTATTGGGAAATTTGTATCACAGTGGAAGATGTAATGACACATTGAGGAATAATTCTGTTTAAGAGTTCTTAGAGCTGATAATTTTAATTTTATTACAAAATTTATGGAATAAATCAAAAGGAGACATTATTAAATTACATCAGAATAGACATGATTAATGCAAACCTCCATAAAATAATGAAAATGTGTGGCTGGTGGAATTTTGTTATAAAAGTGTTTGGACACCTCTTTGCTGGTCTCAAGCATACAGGACCTAGTTACCCATCTTTGAGGCATCCCTTGACAATCATACAGGTACAGGTACTTGGGAATGTGTACCTTTGTTTCCAAACAACTGTGGGTGTTTTCAGAAACATAACATCCTGTAGTGTCAGGGGACAAGCCCCCAGGTATCCTAATGTTAATAATCTCATTACTCATTTAGAATTAAGATCTGATATAATGGGACATAATAGCATGAGGTCATTACTCTAGTGACATGTTCATGGTGTTTGGTGCTCTTCCCTTGCTACACGAGACTTGCTGACCTTACACTCACGTTTGGTGATTAATATCTTGTGAGCCATTAACCATCGAATTTTTTATGTTGATATGCAAAGTAGCATGATGTGTTTTGCATGTGTTGGCAGCATTTTACAATTAATTTAGAAATACTTGGCTTTAGTGTCAGGAGACTTTAAATGGGCTGATTTTGTGACCTCTGTTTAGTCATTTTAATACTCTTAATGCACCTTTCATGACAGCCTGTGTCATCCTACAATTGTAGGGTCATGACAAGGTAATTAAAATGCTTGCTAAGGGGGGGGGTTGGGGGAGGGAAAATGAAGATACAAAGAGGATTAAATAATGAAAGGGGAGATGGGGAGGGAGGAAGTATGAAAGGCAATGGCAGGGATAAGGGAGGTGGCTATGAAGGGGCAATAGGGAAGAGATGATTTTTAATTTAATGAATGCCTAATAGAACTAGCATGATCTAATGTGTATAACCCTTACAACTTTGCTCATGGAAACAAAATTCCAGGGCAGACTTTAATCACACACACACACACATACCTAAGACATCAGAGTCAGTTATCTGGTTCTGAGTTTGCCATTTAAGAGAGGTCTGATAGTGACTCGCTTGTCTTTATCTTATCATGATACTGTACACTGATGAGCATGTCACAATACCAAACCTGATGTTTACCATAATACAGTGTACTTGTAGCCTAGAGATAATTTATTAACTGATATTTACTCCGACTGTTACACAAATCAATCTTCTATGCGTATTTGTAATCTTGTATAACCCAATATCCATAAATTTAACTTTAAATTTTAGAATTGAAAAATGGAATGCTGTGCTCAGAACACTCATAATTGCAGCAAGACAATTTATTGTAGATGAAGAGTAGACACGATAAGCATAATTGGAAAACACTAAGAACATAAGAGGTCTGTGGCTCACTAGTCCCCCGACAAATATGAGAAATATTGCTCGAACAAATGTGAACATGTACAAGAAACAATTAAACAAGTTCCTGCAGAAAGCATCAGGCCATCTGGGTTGTAATGGATATGTGAGTGCAGGCTGCTAAAGGTAACATTTTAGATCAAGTTATCACAACACAAGCCTGGCCTCTGGCTGGGATTAGGGACAAGAATTCTCAAAATCAATTTGTGTAAACTCCAGGAATATAGGCAGATGGCTTTTTAATGTTGACCCAAGTGTAGTTCTGATCCTAGGTCATGATAAACAGGATATTGGTGGGAGAGCCTTGAAAATGCTGAATCTGTATGTGAAAAAATTTATTTGTTGACTTCATAGGCCCACTAAGAAATTATATTATGAACAACTGTTATGTTAATCACATTGAATAACTCGCTTGTCTCTGAAAATGGCCTAGGGTGTTTATAATTACTAATATTTCTTAAAGCACATAACTTGGGCCTACTTTGACCACCTTATGTCTCGCCTCGGACCATTTTCCCTGCA